AGAGTATTCTTTGGCTGAGGTGACTGTCAGTCTCCATGGCAACTCCAAGCTGCTGATATGTATTTGCAAAGTTGGGTGTTTAATTTCCTGCTGGCGGTGAGCAGCACACTCTGGGACTCAGAAGAGCCTTGGGTCACCTCTTGCGTGTTTATCCATGCACCCGTGGAAATGCACTTTGCCACGACTGACCAAAGAGAAGCACTCTTAGCTGTTAACCTCAATCATGTTCATGCAAGATGGATTGTTCCATTATGAAACAAATCAGTTTAAAGGAAATATTATGCCCTCTCTTTTCCTCATTACCAGGAAACCAAAACAAAAAACAAACAAAAAAAAAAAACCCCAAAAGCTCACAAAGTTCACTGAAAGCTTTATTTTGTTTTCTTCACTTTTGCCTACAATTGAAGTTACGCTAGAAACACAGTAGCTGCAAGATAAATGTTTTAAACAACATTTGCACCAAAAAGCCAAGAAATATGTTAACACTGCAAAAGAAGCAGTATAGTGTTAAATATGATTAGCCTTGCATTTGATATTGCAGTCAGTGGTTATCAACAGATTAGCATATAACACAAATCTACATCTATTAAATTCACAAAGGCTGCTTTAATATTCTGTTTACAGTGTTAAGCTGTAGTGTATCAATGTCAAAAGTGTCAAAGTAGCTAACAATACTGATACAACGGAAATGACAGGCGTGCAAAAAATTTATAAAACCTGACAGAAGAGTAAGAAATGAATCAGATGAACTGTTCTGAACAATAAATCAGTAATAGCATTTACTAATATTTCACATATTAAAAGGCTCCCTATTGATTAGCTTCTGTATCAGGAGTGAACTGCTAATGCATTTAATTATGAGTTATTATTAATCTCTGGCTCTCTTCCACAGCGCATCTTTTATCCTGTCTTCCTCTCATCTCCCTCTCCCTCATCCTGCTTCTGCCAGAGGTTTCTTCCTGGTAAAAGGGAGTTTTTCTTTCCTACTGTTGCCAAATACTTGCTCAAACAACGCTGTTTATTGTTTTTACAATATAAAGCGCCTTTAGGCTACTGTTGTTGTGATTTGGTGAATTGAACTGATCATTGCAATTTAACCAGTTAAGCTGGAATTATTAAATTGCCCATGATAAATTACTATGACAACATAGATCGTACTACCGAAAGTCACAGAAATATCCGTGAAGCTTAAAAACTTTAGATTGCTGCATAGCCGTGATCATCATAGTGTATTTATGTATATATGTCTGTATCTCCTTAACACGGTGCCAATCTGAGCGAATCTTTGCATGGACTTTATCACACATATTGTGATCACTAACAGCAATATAATTTTACAAAAGATTGAAGATTAAATGGTGATTTAGATTGCATGTATTATGTTAATTTCATATTCCAACAGTGAAAGCACACTGCGTCACATTCTCAGTTTGCGATAGTTTCACGTGTCACAACACTGTATGTAACTTAATGATTACTAAAATTTGTATTTGCAAGGGAATTTTGTTCAAGAATCAAACATTTATTTTATAAAATGTTGGAGATGTGGAAATATCCATATGTAATGGGCATTTCCACACAGTTTCCGTATAATACCAAAGTAAACCAATGGATCAAAGACAGTGCACTGAACATAAAAGTCTGGCAAGTCTGTTTTCTGTGGTTAAAGTTCTGAAAGTTGATTAATCAATGTAAAAATACTCTTAGTGTAGTCTTTTTTGCTGATTTTAATCAGTAGCCCAGCAGGTTATATGAGAATAACTTAGAGGCAGGGATCGTTCACCCTTTTGTCATCTTTGAAATGAAATCTTGCGTCTTATTTGGCCACACAGCTTTTCTGTATTAAAATTTACATTTGGGAATACCAAATTCCACATACCAAAGAAGCTGTGCACCCAACCCTATTTCATCTAACACAGGACACACTTCTGTGTAATTCCTCTCTGGAGAATTTAAGCTTCCTTTTGACTATTAACAGGATATTGTTTCAGTGCCTTCCATTACAAAAAAAGACTCATAATTTTCTGGAATCATAGCCCGGCACGATCTATCATGTTCAAGTTTTGGAGTCCTGAAGATCCAGGAGGCGTGGTTTAGGACAGAAATGTTTCTTTTTGTGCCAAAATAAGGATTTAATGTTTCTGACTTAATCTTCCAAAAATAAAAGTAGTATTTATTCTGAAAGGCAACAAATAATAAATATTGCTTTGCACCTAAAATAGACTAAGTTGATTGGTTTACAGGGATAATGGCAAAGAGATTAATGGGTTAGCAAGCCATGTGGAGCTTGAGGTCAGTGTTTTCTGTGTTACAATGTTCCTATTATTCACAGCATATTGCTAGTGTTATATAACTATACAATTCCACCTGTAGCAATATGGTTTATATTTGTAACTTCTTGTATATATGCAGCTAAAACCCCTGAATGAAACCCTGCTGTTCCTCTTATTTTGCACATATTCTTCTTGTTTGTTATTTATTCCTGTTACGTCACTACTTATATGTCCTGCACAGTTGGTGCGGAGCACCCAAAGTGTCATTGTACATATACAATGACAATTCTATTCTATTCAAGATACAAACTGTGTCGTATTGTCAGTTGGTGATGCAAAAACTCTACAAAGGTTTTTATCCTTGGTTCTACTCTGCTGCTGTTTTATTTGAAGTCTGTTTTACACTGCTGGAATTGTAGCTACTAAAACACAGATTAGAACATTAAAAAGAGCTTTTGTTATAGCTAAGATGACCTATTAAATCAACAAAAGTAAATACTGTGAACTTGTGAACAAACCAAAGTGATTTCCATGTCTACTTATAGTAGGCTATGGAACAGTAACATTTAATGTTCAGATGTATCGATTTTAAAGAGCTCTAATGTGCAGTTTTGACATTAGAAATTACCTGCAGTGTAAACATAATTAACAAATACGCTACTACTCTTGAGCTAAACCCCAATATTTTAATAATTTTAATAATTTTCAGCTGCATTAGAACTTGAGTTATATTTGGACTTGGGTTGCATTGTGCTGTTATATTTTGTATACTAATTAAGGTGTTTTATCACCATTTTATCATCATTATTTAATAATGTCTCTTACTGGAGTAAGTTGGGACTTTGTGCAGAAAAATAGTCACATGTTCTGTGATGGCCCTTTCACATAGAAAGCGGCATGTACTGCAGTGACTGCTGGTTGAGCGAATGACCCCAAATTTGCTCAGTAGACACAGGTCTCTGCGAATACCACGTCATTTTTTGCGACTGTGTATGCTTATGTGTACTATATGCTCCCAGTCTCTGTCATTCCACAATTCTACTGGTTTGCCCTTGACACGCCCCTTTTTATGAGAGTGTGCACAGAACCTGAAGGTTGGCTTTTCAAAGAAAGTTGATTTTGTGATAGCCGGTATTTTAAGCTTTTAAAGGTTTTTTTTTCAGGCCAGCTAAGACAAAAAAAAGCCTGGCTCTATGCCTTCATGGTTTATCAAAGTGGTCGGATGTTCAGCTCAACTGCCTGAGCACCATCTCCCTGGTAAAGCTTTAAGCCTCCACATCCATTAAAGCAATATTAGATGACTAGAATGGACAAATAAAGATGGTGGTAGTATATTACTTATTTTTCAGGTTTGGACTCACACAGAGAAAATACAATTCCTTTTGTAGCACTCTGCATCGAGCTATGGAAAGTATCTGAGTGTAAAAGAATGAGAAAGCCTCATAAGTAGGGCTAATCCTGGTTGTACAGTGTAAATCATGCACATACATTTTACTTATTCATACCCTGAATTCACATGATTCATGCTTTGCTTTTTGTAGTAATTGCTGATTTAGTCAAAACAGAAATTTACACACTCTTGTCATCCTTTGGGATAGCTACGTCTGTACATTCCAGCCAGATATAGTTTGATTTTGCAAAGATAACAGCAGCTCAGATGTATTCTGCACACCTGACAGATTTGGCACTTAGAGCTAAGCAGAACAGGTATATACACCACATTACACTTTATATCACACATTATCACTGTAAGAAAACATACACTACAAAAAGTATCAATATCCTGCTGCAAACAGATTTTTTGTTTGTATGTTTGTTTTTCTCTTCTGACCATATCTCTGTGGGGAAGTCCACAGCCAGTCCAAAGGGAAATTGCTGAATCTGTAAACGGAACACAAACTCATATCCAAACAAACTGTAAACACTTATTTTGCTTCTCTTTCTTCTTTGCTTTTTTTTCTTAAATATTTTAGAGCCACATAGATCAAAAGCAAGGTGATGAAATATCAAGAATTATCAAATGTCAATATAAGCAAAGCGTAAAGGAAAAATACAGAACCACAGACGTACCTTGTGGTCATTTTATCTGTGACTGAAGCCAAATGTGTTGTAATGTAAAAGCTAAACATTATGTACAAATTTACATTTTTGATTCATTTTCTACCATCTTTTCATTCATAGTCTGTGTTTTTACTGCTACATTAACCTCATTTAGTCAACTATGCATTTCAGCACTCACCAATGTGACCGTGACTGTCTCGGAAATATTTCCACATGAGAGCAAATTCATATAAACTCCGGATTATTATCTCTAACACAACTCTTTGTGTATGCAAAGCTGAAATGATCATTACCTTCACACTGACGGAGCTCTGGCTAATGCCATCTTACTTGTCTTAAATGTGCTACAGATATTCAGTGTAACAGTTTTCTAATTTAAAAATGATCAATAATCTTAATAACCCTTGGAGCAGTTAGTTTGACATCAGGATGGAAGTCTAGAAAATGAGATAAAGCCAGTCTCAGTCTGAACAATAGACCAATACAATGAGTGAAGTGTTGTGGCTGCCGACAGTGTTCTTCCAGTGGCAGGTTTATCCTCCTTTAGTGATTCTGCTCAGAGGCTTTCTGTGCGCTTGACACCACTACAGAAAGTCAAGTAGGTAAGCAGAAAAGAAGCCCATGGAAATCCAAACAGAAGTGGTTTGATGCTATTCTGTCTTTTTCTAAGCACAAACCCCATAGAGTGGGCTCCATTCTGATTCTACATCTGTTATGACAGACCTTTTTCAAATCCACCGAGTCCAAAATGGTCTTTCAGCACACACCACGTGTCTCTTTTTAAAACAAAGAAAAATACAAAAAAATACCCAAAGGGTGGTTGAATCACACGGAATACCAAACAAGAATTCCCTGCTTCTCCATGTAGAGTTGCTGCCATTGTGCAACAAACTACACTGTAATTCATCATCCAGCTGTCGGTGGGCAAGAGTTGTGTGATTCTCCTCTGTAAGGCTCACTTATTATGAGATGATGTTAAATGTACAAATGGAAAGAGTTAATCTGCAAAATTCTTACTTTTCAGTTTTTTAATCCACATCAGATGTCTCTGATGAAATGGCAAAGTCAGATTTGAAAAGGCCATTGTTTTAAACTTTTGGCTTTTTTGTACATCAGTCATTCTCTGCTCGATTATAGTACCAAGATAAATGCCATATGAATGACATTTTTTGAGACAGACTCCTTCAAGGATTTCTTTGCCCTTTTTGCGTCATCAGAAAGTTCAGCTTTCAATCCCTAAATTATGAACTGTTTCATTATCTTGATAAAACATTTTAGGCCATCAATATCATTCTACTCTCAGTGCCTCTGTAAGGCATCACTTTGAGGGGGGACAGTAAGAACTTTAATAGAAAGTGGAACTTGTTTTCCATTACCTTTAATTATTCATTTGAATGTCTCGTTTGACAGCCAAATTAGAGAGAATAAAACAAGATTTGACTATGTCAACTCTTCCTTTGAAAATATCTCTTAAAACTCTGTTGTGGAGATCTGGGTGACTTCTGATTGGAGATCTTGCTGGATCCTCCTTGAACGAGAGCAATGGGGGACCCGGTCCATGCCTAGTCATGCCGGCTTCTTTCCTGCTTCTGTTGGAGCACAGATGGACACTGGCTCCCTGGTGGTGTTGTGGCCTCTGGTCAGACTGTTTTGCTCCACACGGGTACGACAGGGGAGGCAGAAATCCCTGAAGCATCGCTTAAAATTTTCATCTAAAAATGCATAGAGGACAGGATTGAGGCTACTGTTGGTATACCCCAAAGCGATGCACAGATGCCAGCTAGCTATCACAAAGGGATTCCTGCTGTCAATTTCTATCATGGTCTTCACAATGATAAATATGTGAATGGGGGTCCAGCAGATGATAAAGGCCGCCACCACCACCAGGACCATGCGGGTAATGCGGCGCATGTTGCGGTCTTTCTCCTTGGAGCCTGAGAGCAGACGAACACTCCTCAGACGCAGGATCATCAGACCATAGCATATGGTGATGACCATCACAGGGACCACAAAAGCAAAGATGAAGACGCAGATCTTTGTCACCGTGTCCCAATACCAGTCAGGCTCAGGAAACTTTAACATGCAAGTGGTTTTACCTGAAAAAAAAAAGAACAGTTACATTTTGATGGCGTTAGACAAAATAGGGCTGATGTTAATTAACATCTGTGAAAGATCTGAGCAAAAACCACAGGATTCAAATCCAAAAAACTGCAGTGAAGGCTGTGGTACAAGATCAAGAACCTTTCGTGTGTAGTGCAGACTTTTAAATTCAGATAGTCTGTCATGGAAGGTTTCATAATATTGCACTCAGCTGTTCACACAATAAGAGATAAAAAGTCCCCTAAAGTGTTGAAGAATAAAGCAAAAGCTAATAACTTTTCAAAAGTTATAGAAGCAATTACACATGTAGTGACATGTAATTTATGTGTAACTTTAGGCACACACTTATAGAAAATAAGGTTAGGTAAACTTACAGCTGGATTTTACTTGTGTGGGCAACTCAAACTTTAATATCATCCCAGTACAGACCTGCATCACTGAATTTATACACACATTTTATGCACGTGCACCCAGTTATTTTTATAGTTTGTCTTTTCAACCATCACAATGAATACACTACTGTACAATCCCTTCACTCTTTATATTTTAATTTTTTGAAAGATTAGTCACTACTTGCACATTTCACGTTTCCTTGCTGTTAGGCTGATCACTGCACTTTTGCATCCCCGGAGAGGGAACAGGACTGAACATATCGATCGACTGACTGATTGAGTTGAACTCTCTGTTCTCTCAGCCTCATGTTCACATTCTGCAGCATCTTCCTCTTTTTGTTCTTTTAACCCATTTTTCTCTGAACAGAATAGAACATTGCACACACGAGGGAGACTGACCAAAAACTCCTTATGTTTCTGCTCCACTGTTCAACAGTTTTTCAGTTTCTCCCTGGAGCATGATGGAAAATAATCTGAAAAGGAGTTTAGTTGTAGTCTAGCAATCAGCGACCCTGCAAAGAGCCCCCATCTTTGAGAAATCTAATAGGTTATATCTGAAAACTGTGACTGATAATAACATATTGTTTTTAGCTGTAAGAGGGTGGCAGACTTTCACAATCTTTCCAAAGTTTTCTGGCATGGTAGTCTTCATACACTTTAGCAGTGTATAGAATAAGTTTTAAGTCAGGATCAACCAAATTTAAGCCTAGACTCAACTATTTCCAGTTTTATTCATTGGCATGCATGTCTGATTTGCAGCAACACTGAATCAAAATAAAAACAAAGGGGAATTTAAATTAGATTAAATTATGAAAATCAATAAAGCTGTACCGTCAACACCTTCATGGTCAAGCAGTCTAATTATGTAATAACAAAGTGAAAAGAGGTCTGCAAAGAAAGGCATTTCTTTGAAAATGAGAGCAATGCTCACGTTGCTAGGTTTTTTGTGAAGATTCAACTACTTTTAAATGATCTCGCCACTTGCGACGCTGACCATGGTAAACACAAACTGTACATCCAATGGCAGCGCTAGACATTTCCTCCTAATCAGAGACAAAATCTCCCAATCAACTCCTCA